CATGGTACGTACGTTTCATCAACGCATCTATGATTATGTCTACAAGTATCACATTTTCATCATCTCAATATTTATTTTATATGAAAGGGAACAACCGAGCAAGAAGAGAAGCTTACGTCACGGTACTCCACTCGTCCCAGGACTACGTGTGCGGTGCCCTCGCCCTCGCCCGAAGCATCCTCGACTCCAATTCCACACGAGACCTCGTCCTCCTAGCCGACAACTCCATAACCCCCAAATCCCGGCTCGGCCTCCGTGCCGCCGGCTGGAAAATCCGGCACATCAACAGAATCCGCAACCCCCACACGCAAACCGAGACCTACAACGAGTGGAACTACAGCAAGCTCCGAATATGGCAGCTCACGGACTACGACAAGCTCATATTCGTCGACTCCGACTTCTTAATCCTCAAAAACACGGACGAATTCTTCGCCCACCCACAGCTGTCGGCAGCTGGCAACAGCCGCCACCTCTTCAACTCGGGCTTCATGCTGGTGGAGCCCGCGGTCTGCACTTTCCGGGCTTTCATGAGAAAGCGTGCTGAGGTGGCGTCGTACAACGGAGGGGACCAGGGGTTTCTGAACGAGGTGGTGACGTGGTGGCACAGGTGGCCGGGGAAGGTGAATTTTTTAAAGGATTTCGGGCGGGAAGAGGGGATGCATGAGGAGATAGGGGATGACGTGTACGCGTTGCATTATTTGGGATTGAAGCCGTGGATGTGTAGAGGGAAGGAGCGCGACTGCAACTGGGACGTGCCGGAGAATAGGCGCTTCGCGAGCGATAAGGCGCATAGGATGTGGTGGCGGGTTTTCGAAGGGATGGCGGAGGAGCTTAGGGATCTTTGTGTGATTACGCCGGAGATGGAGGGGAGGATGGAGTTGCATATAGCCAAGGGTTGAGGGATTAGAATGCAAAATATACACATCAAATAAATATATTTCACAATTCATATTCATCTCATTTTGCTTGCATAGCAATTAGCATGCATGTTGATTGATTAGTTTTTTCCGTTATAAGTGAAACTATGGTAATGTATGCTGATAATGTGAGTGGAGTGGCCAATTCGTCTTGAAAACATAGAGTCGAACGCTAGTCTATATCTAAGTTAATTACGTACGTACATTGCATTTTTCTTCATTTCAATCATATGAAATTCTTCCGTGATATTTTATCTGCGCTTGATTAGTTTTTTTCGGTTATAAGTGAAACGAGGTGTAAATCTCTGTTTCGAGAAATATTATCACAGGCTTATTTATTTAAAAATTATGTTTTGATATTGCGTTTCCATTAATGAAATAGTAACCATATTGAGAGTGAATGGTTAATTAGTTTGTTGATTAGTCACTGCTAAGAGATTTTTTTTATTTTTATTTTTACCGACTCAGTAGTCACTGTTAAGAGATTATCTGTACATCAATGCGTGACATATGATAAACATTTATTCCTTGGGATTTTTTTGTAACATTTTGAGATTTTATGAGATTTGATACTTTTTATGATTTTCAGATTTAGGAATGATAATTTTGGAGGTGAAATGAGTGGGATTTTAATTTGCATATGGTTTTTTTTTTTTTAAATCCTATCAAATCTTAAAAAGTTTTAATAAATCATAATATCAAATAAATTAAATATTTCAGATTTTGTAAGACTTTTTAAAATCTCAAATGAATACTTCGAGGTTTTTAAAAGTTTAAATTAAATACACAATGATAATAAAATATTAAAAAGTCTTAGAAATCTCAAACCAATATACCCATAGTTTCATGATTTCTGTTTTGGTTATTTCGACAAGAATTTTAGATATAGATACATTTCAAACTCCGCGTATGAGATATTGTTCTATATCGATGAAGTTTGTTCGAAAAACACTTGGCTCGCGTAGAGAACTTCGCGAACTGTCAATAGAAACATATGATGCGTAGTCCATGTGGAGAAAAGAATAAGTATGGTTCTTGCATGTTCAATGGGTAATGTAAAATCATTATCCATGTACATTTATCAACGAGCCGTGACCCGGCCTGGCCTGGCCCGCTGGGTCGGCGGCCTCAAATGCTGGGCTCGGCTATATCTTAGGGTCGGTTCAATTAGGGGTGAGCAAAATCGAGCCGAAACCGAAAAACTGAACCGAATCGAACAATTCGGTGCGGTTTTTAAGAGCTCGATTAACGGTGCGGTTTGATTTTTAAAAACCGCAAACATTTCGGTGCGGTTCGATTTTTCGTCCGCTGGGTGCGGTTTTAACCGAACCGCACCGCATATAATAAAGTGTCATTTTAATTTTAACACTTTTAGGCCTTGTTTGGCAATCAGCGGTTAGCTGTTAGCTGTTAGCGGATTGTGACAACTGTTTTGACCAGCGGATTATGTTAGCGGTTTGACCAGCGGATTGTATCAGTGATTTGTAAAAATGGTGTTTGGTAAATTAGCTGTTTGTAATTGGCTAACATGCAAAATTACATAAAAGGACATTCATAAACTTTAATTTTCTTTTTCTTTTTTATGTTAACCTTGTAATTACTTGAAAAATGTAATTTATTCAGATTTTTTTATACATTATTGTAAAGTGATTCAAGTTAATATAAAAATACAAATAATAATTAAAATGACAACATTTCTTAATTGAATAAATAAGTTTGGATAAGAGAAATTAAGGCGAGAGCAATCAAGGCTATGAGAATTTTAATTGAATAAAATGACGACACTTTTTTTATATAATAACAACACTTTTTTTTTTTATAAAATGACAATAAGTTTGGATAAGAAAAATAAGTTTGAATAAAATGACAACACTTTTTTTATATATTATTGTAGAATTTTAATTTGATGAACGAAGCTATGAGAGAGAAAAGAAATGGGCAAGGGCAATCAAGACTCTTTATTTCTTATCTTTAAAACGTTGAATGAAACGCTCCAAAAAACAGCGTATTTCATTTCAGCGGATAGACCCAAAAACGTTAACTGTATAAGTTGTTTACCAAACCATTTTTTTAGCTATGAAAATGGTCAAACAAGTTAAGTGATTGAAAACGCTATTTTCTAGGTAAAAAGTCATTAACCAAACGAGGCCTTAGTCTTTACATGCTGCTCTTTTCTTTTACACTTTCAAGTTTACATTTAGTACTTAAAATAAAATCTAATGTTCACCTTTCGCTCTCAAGCTGTCTCTATCTCTCAACCCCGCAGACACAGCAACCCGTTTTCACTCTCGAGTCTCACCCTCCGGCGATCTTGACCCCGCTCTCACCCTCCGGCGATCTCGACCTCGCTCTCAGTCTCTCACCTTGTTCGTCATTCCATTCCACCGGCTTTGTCAATTTAGTCAGCTCTCAGTCTCTCTCTCTCTCGAAACTTTTGTCCTTTTTCTCATTTTGATTCGTCCTCTTGTATTTCTTCAGTTTTTTGTTGAGGCCTGGGGGTATTGGATGGTTAATTTATGAGAATCAGCTGTAAATCTTCAAACAATTATTTTTTGCCCTAATTTCATCCCCAATTTCGATATTCTTTTTGTATAATATTGTCAGTGGAAATGGGGGATGATATTATTACTGCTGTTTGTTATTGTTTAGAACTTTTTAATGTGTTATGCTGCTGTGTTGAGACTTTGAGTGCAATTGTGCAATGGTTGTTTTGTTTGTAATTGGAATATGGGATGCTTAACAGCTTAAGTCTAGTAGTTTAATTTGTACGGTTAATTTTATTTTACTTTTTTTTTTCGGTTAACCGGAAAACCGCACCAAACCGAACCGAAATTTTCGGTTCGATTTGGTTCGGTTTTTCTTTCTAGTGTGGTGCGGTTCGGTGAAGAATGCTTCAAATTTTGGTTTTCTATTTTTGTCGGTGCGGTTCAGTTTTTGGCCGAACCGCACTGATGCTCACCCCTAGGTTTAATGAACCGGCCCAACCGCCAGTTTAAAAAAAAATAAAATTATAACTGCCACCCATCAGAAAACTTGGGCCCAGCCCGGCGGGTAAAAAAGAGTAAGGATTAGCAAGTCCGGTCGGTAAGGATGGGAAAGCCTGGGTTAGGTTCAGGAGTAGACACCCGGAGACAAGGCGTGCTTTTACCTTTTTTTTTGGTAGTGGTCTCCTGGTATTTTTTTTTTAAACGCCTGCCTTTTTCAATGATGGTGGAACCAGATCCAACCCCGGGGGTATCCTAATATTTTGTTAGCAGCTTCAAGAGGTTATAACATATGCTCGACCGCTCCGTGGGGTCAATTACATCGAACGAAGTTCAGTCATAGAGAGCAAAAAGACTTTCATCATTTCTCGAGGTTAACCGAACCAAGAATTTCGAGCTTCCTTTCTGAGGAGAGACATGAGGAGGAACCACGGTAAGGCTGTCAACCAGCGGCTCATCGAGCCACCGGCCATACCGGAAAAGAAGTTTATTCTCCGTCACCAATTCTGACTTTAAGGCCCGCTGCCAATGACTTGCAAGGCGAAACCATAAAGTAAATGCGTCCTCTCGTCGGGTTGGGGGGCTCTTAAATTATTCATTGAAGAGTCGTGTAACATGATGTCTCCTTCGGGGGCCTCTGGCTCAGGATCAGGTGAGAGCGCTGGAGGCCTCGCTTCGTTCCACTCGCTTGATCGGTACACGACCCCGTAACCGGCCCTTAAGGGGTTCTGGGCCGGTTCAAAAACCGGCTAGGGCGGGCCGGTCCAACCGTGGCCATGTCTACTTGAAGGTAAGGATGGATATCCAATTTATAATGGACTGACATTTCAAGTTTCTAATATGACCTAAACAATCAATAAGTAGTCTTTTTCACATATATCTACGATCAATATATGACGCCGCATAATTGTAGATAGCACTAATGTCTAGTATCAATACTAATATAACACTCACTTCCATTAGTTCGTGTTCTTAAGGACTGAAAGATTAACATCTTCTTTTTTATTCGTTTTCATACGTCAATTGGGATAGGTTTTCATGTACATGTGGAGGATCTACGAGAGGTTTTGAAGCCCACGAGTTGGGCAGAAAAGTAGCTAGAGAAGTGGAGTGTAGGAATAGTTAGATTAGAAGAGAGTTCTAGTTGAGTAAATTTGTACTACACTACGTGTACACAACCATTTTCTAGTGAAAGAACTCTGAGGGAAGCGGGAAGCTTCCTCAAGATAATTTTGTGTTAATTGGTTTTGCTTTATATTTTGTGTTGCTACATAATATTGCACTCATACGCTCCCTTGTACACTACGATTGGCACTAGAGTTGGTACATGTTCTAATCACATGTTAAAGACAGTAGACTGAAGTTTTGGGCACAATGAATCGTGCATCCAGATGATTGCTCGACCGCCTTACTTAGATGGTACAAACTATTCATAATCAAAGTCAATAACGGTGATATTCCTCAGGTCTCTTGGCAAAGGAACCTGGAATATTATTGAGACTGTGTGGACATACCCTCAGATAGCCAAAGCTCAGAAAGATGACAAAGATAAGACTAAGATAGAGACAGTGTTAGCTCCTCCAGCCAATAAATAAATGTAGCCTGAAGTGGATATTCTACTATCTTGACATCCACCAAAATCAGAATTAATGTACCCGATGATCTCCAAATGATCTGATTTTTTATAAGTGAGCATTTAATCCTTTCTCTGCCTGTATCTCATTACATGTTTGGCTTTTTCAATGATCCTTAAAATATCAGCCTAGCATACCAACAAAAAAAGTTATATCAGGTCTTGTACACACCTGAGCATACATCAAACTTCCAACAACCGAAGCATAAGGAATTTTCTGCATTTCCTTAATTTTCATATCAGTTTTTGGACACTGACTTAGACTAAATTTGTCTCCTTTGGCAGTAGGGGTATCTTTTTGTTTGCAATTTTGCCTGCTGAATCTTTGCAACACTTTTTCTATGCAGCTCTTATATGATAATCCATGAATACCTTGCAAACGATCTAGAATAATATGGATTCCTAATACAAAAGAGGCTTCCAAAATAAAATTCATTCAATCCAAAAACCACTCATGACAAAGAATTAAGAATCAATCAAATAAAGCAGAAATGTACCTAAATTCATTGTTTGAGGATTCTTTTCTTTACTACACTCGTATAGTCTTCCAAACGATCGACATCTTATAGCAGATATTTATGTGTAGTATACTATAGCGTATCAGCTCGTACCTTTTCGTCGTTTGGGACCATAACCAAATAAATAAAGTTTATTGATTTTCAATCGGTCCCTCAACAAGAAAAAAATCTCATGAAGGTATCTACACTTGTAAGTCTATAACAATTTTGATACTCTCTTTATTTAAAATTATAAATTTTTAAAATTATAAATTTAGTAGATCACTTTAATTGAATAATGTTATGACAACTATACACATTTAATTTGCATATGTTACCCAAATATAGTATTTCTAACATTGATTTGATGTTCAGTCCAACAAAAATGAGAAAGAGTTGGATGAATCAACAGTAAAACTGATTATGTTAGAATATGGCCACAAACTGTCTATGTATTGAAGAAGATGTCATAGAATCATTAAGAACTTAAATGTTTTCTTTGCACGACGCAACCAAAGAGATGAATGCTCAGATTACTAGCCTTAAGTGAGAATTATATCGAATCATGAAAAAGCATGAGGATATGAGAGAACATCATGATCAATTGAAGAAAAGAGTTGCTCGGAATGACAACGATGTTATTATGATCAACAATCTAAAAATCATATATTCAGAACTCAACAAGTGCTTTCTTTGGGTTACAATAGTTAGTATGCCGAAGCAAAAGATAAGAACATTCAAAATAAGTATGTCGCAGACGGTAAATCGTTGGCGCCTGCTATCCAGAATCAATATCGTCACCTACTACCGTTTCTTACAAAAATCTACGCTTCCAGAGGAACATTGATTAAGATTATGTTGGTTTTACAGTTGTTGATCAAGTATGTAAACATGGACATTTGTTGCACTACATTGAACATCTCTGTAATAGAAAGTTTTTTTTAACTTTTCATGATTTTCTTTGGTTGAGAAAATCTCAAACCACGATTCTCATTTGATGACGTAAACCCGAGTCATCAAGACTCCAAACAGTAAATTTAATGATACACGATTTTTGCGAAACTAATAGACCAGGCCATAAAATTTAATGATACACGATTTTTGTGAGTTAATTTAATTAAATGATGAGTCAATTGTATCAACATTGTGGATTTTGCAACCATAATGGATGATTATGCATTTATGCTGGAAAGTCAAGATACCATAACATGAATACATCAACTCAATATAAACTGCCGCATCAAAACACAATAAAAAACATTAGCAATTTCCCATTAGTATCAAACATTTGCCCTTCATCTTTCATCTTCATATTTTTTTGTTTTGAGCCAATGAGTTGTCCAATCCCAAAAACCTCGGCCACAAAGAAGGTGGCCGCCAGCAATGGCCGCCGGAAGGTCCAGTTGGCGAAAATAGTGAACCAAAACAAACTGCAGGTCACTTTCTCCAAGAGACGTGCTGGCTTGTTCAAGAAAGCCAGCGAACTCAGCACCCTTTGTGGGGCCCACGCTGCCATTGTCGTTTTCTCCCCACAAAACAGAGCCCACTCATTCGGCCACCCGAGTGTCGATGCCATTTTAGACAGATTTCTAAATGAAAATCATAGTCCGCCAGCTGGCGATGCCGAGAAGCTGCTCGAGGCGAACGTGCGCCAGCAAGAGGTGGAACTTGGCGAAGTTGAGAGAGAACTGAAGCTCCAACAAGAGAAAAAGAATAAGGATTTTCGAGTCGACATCAAAAAGCTCGACTATTACTCACTGCGGACTGAAGAATGCGCACTAACAAACTTGAGAAGTGAGCTTGAAGCAAAAGTGCAGACCTCCATGGACATCGAGGCTCCACATGATGTAATTATTCCATATGATCCAACGGCTGAGGATTCCCTACCGGTAATACCATACAGTGGGTAAAGATTGATTTTGACTTGGGTTTGATTGATTTATCTAGTGCAAAAATGTGGTGCATTATTATCCACAAACCTATCTTTCAAATCAATACCGGATCAAAGAAGCCTTACAAATTTTCATAACTATTGTTGTTGAGCTAGTGTATTCAATTAAGACTTTTTAAAACTTTCAAAATTTTAGGTGCATGTACTAAATTGAGACTTTTACAGATTTTTTATAACTTTCTAAAAGTTTTCTAAGAGTCTCAATAAGTCACCCAATATTCAAAGTGGAACGACTTTATAATCAAAGTGGAACGACTTTATAAGACTTTATAAATTGAAAGACTTCTGAAGACTTTTTGAATAAAATTACAAAGACAAAATCTCAATAGAAATCTCATCAAATTGGTAAAATTTCGCTATGGAAGTCTCATAATGTACACCAAAGTCTTTAAAATTTTCACAAAATCCACCAAAGTCACTCACTTTAAAAAGTCTTAAAAAAATTTTGTGAGTCCCAATTGAATACATAGAGACAGAAATTAGCATAAAAAAATTGTCTTTGCTAGCCAACACTTTGCAGTTGGGAGCCAAACAAAATTCCAAGTGTACATATGGTTCGGGAGTAATGAGCCCGGTAGTTCAGTAAACAGGTAAAATAGATCTAATACACTATACGAAAACAACCTACCAATCACAACAAGTTTAAAATCAATAAGACTCGGGACTCATTGAAGGCCTGATTTTCGATGGCATCTGCATGAATCTTTGTTGTCCGCCTCCAAACTTACTGCTCGAGTCTCTAGGTGTAATAGACATTTTGTCCAGGGAATATTCAAATTCATCGGCATCAGAATTTTCCTCATCGTAACTCCTCCGACTCCCATTGTCCGGAATACTCATTCCATCTCCTTCATAGGCTACAGCAACATCTTCATCTTCATCTTCATCTTCATAGCTCATACCTTCTCCATCATCGTCATCATCATAACTACTTCTTACCATTGACCAATAGACATAATTTGGCCGGATATAGCTTCAATATGGGAAAAATAAAGGAGCCCAAGTCAAAAAGAGTCGAAAAGAACTAAAGGGGGGAAAAAGAATGGTTTCTATCCTGAGCATATTTCTGAATTGCTAGACAACTATGAGTGTTTTTTCAAGTAGGCTTGAGAACAAGAATCGAGTGAAACAAAACAAAATGTCAAAAAACAAACCTGTCACATTTCTTTAATAGGCAGGGATCAAATGGAAAAAACATGTCCAATCTTTTTATTCCGCCAAACGCCATTGAATTTTCTGATTCAAGGAGACCAAAGTTAACGGAACTTTGAGGCAGAGAAAATACACCATTTGCCTTCACCAGCCGAAGAAATTCTTCTACTATTGATGGCAGGCATACCTGCACAGGCAACCAATGTAACATGATATCAGAGTTACTAATTACTATGCGAGTTATTAAAAAGGTATAGAACACAAAGCAGGTTTTTCAGAGTTCTCGAAAGCAATGGTAAGCATTTAACACAGATTTTCACCTGCAATGGCCTTAATGGGTGTCTAATGACATCCTCAATACGCATGAGCAGTAGCTGGGACTTGAGGCGGGGTATGGCCACAATTTGTCTCATCCGAAAACAGAGAACATACATAATTGCCTGCACAAAGAAAAGCAAACGTTCAGAGAAGTACTAGTGATAGATTTTGAGTCAAATCATTTTCAGCTTATTTCTCTTGTATTCGATCATTTTCAGTTTGCTAGCTATATTATTTCCAATTTTAACAATCAGGAACTCCAGCATCAGACAGAGATGTGATTCCTGCTATTCCTGATTCATTATTAAGTCCATGGAAAAATAATAGTTTTCAGGTTCACTTCATATTCAAATGTTCAATTACAAGTAACAAAATTCACAAGTAATTATATCCTAATTTGAAGTTTAAGATACTTAGCTATCCATCACATACCTGGCACCCAGCATAAAATACTTTATGAGCTTTTGGATTAATGTCACCATCCTGGTTTTTGCAATATAGGAAGCACCAGTTCACCACACTGGAAATTGGGGCAAAAGATATGGAACTGAGTCAGATATATTCTCCTTGACTTTTCGACTTTTAACAAATAGGCATATGAATAAATATATGATGTCCCACCTTTCCAGCATGTCAGCAACAAATGATACCGGCACGAATTTAGCACGAGCTAAATAACTAGCAAGATATGCAACAGCACCCATTCTGCAATAGAAAAACTAAATGTTACAGACTAACTTCTATAAATCTTTGAATAGTTACAGCATCTTCACACTAGAACTGCAGATGAATGAATTTTGAGGTCCTTTGTCAGAGCTTATTATTTCTGAACTTTCATATCAGGTAACAGTATGCTGACATGCACTGGAGGACGTTTAGCAACATTATATGACTGAAGGGAGTAGTAGCTAGAGTCAAATTAACAAACCAGTAACCTGCAGAAATATTCTTAAAAACACTCGACAACTTTTTCTCCAAACAACTCAAGGCTCTCATGCCTCAGATCCTTGCTTGATTCTGTTGGGTCTCAAATACGAAATTGGTTTAAGTAGAAGATATAGAACACAAATATGATTACCATTAGGAACCAGACAAATTTCAACATACTGAAGAGAAGTGTTGAATCATTTAAATCTGCTATTGGAACATATATTACAAGTTTCCATGCACCCATGTCAGTATAATATATAAATTGTAATGTTTCTCACAAGCATCAACTGTAAGTAATTGGAACTATGCATGTGAAGTACATATAAGTATACAATTATATTTATAGAAAGCAAATGAGAATATGAAAAGATAAAACCAGTTCGTACACAAGAATAGAAATTAATGGCGCATGAGGAAGAAATAATTAACATCCTTACCTCCATTCGGGATTGAGACTGCTCACAAAGATATCTAGAAGCATGTTCAGGAACATCTTTCCACAATTTTCAGGATCCAGTGAGCAAGCGTAGAACATGACAAACTATAAAGCATTCATAGCAAATTCAATTCAGAAACCCGGTGAATTACAACATAAGTAGTATGTATGAGGCCATGAAAATAGTTTCCCCAACAAGAGAGAAAGAGAACTAGATAGCAATTGCTTTGAAGCCTTAGGATATCCTGGGGGAAAATAGACAACATATATACCTGGGTAAACTTTGCTTTATATGCAGTCAAAACTGTTTTCTGAAATGATTGGAGAAGGATCTCAAACACCTATATCAACATTGTACAACGGAAAGTAAGAATTCATGGCACCATCATGTCAGACTGAGAAATGCAATTAGAAATTTACCTGAGCGAGACGTCCACTCTCAAAACAGGATTTAATGTGTTCAAATGTGAGCACCATCAGGCTATCTAACTTTTCAGCAACTAAGTTTCCACTAAAGAACCTTTGTATTAAGGCTTCCCGTGTCAGCTGGAAATGTAAGTTACGTATTAGACACTAAGGTATCATAGTAATGTTTTAAATTCAAACAAATAGCAAAGAGTCAAGATAGAAAGCAACAGGCTAAGTCAATTCAAGATCACTACTTAAGTTGGTCAATGTCCTAGCACAATTGCTCTAAAGAGTATAAGCCTCTTGCAAATTGCACTTAAAAAGTTTCTTATCAAAGTAAGCCCAAGAGATCCTTCAAAAATCTTAAGGTAAGCTAAATACCATTGTTAGTATAGGTATGAATCAAATAATTCAAATCGTTAGGCAACCATTACTTGTCTCACCTCTGTACAGGAGATTAGCAGACAACTGATCCCATCTCAGAAGTCCAATTTATAAACAGATAATAACTAGAATGCTAGGCAGATATTCAACTCTTAGTCTTATCAGATTGGATGTCGAAGGGCTAAAATGATTCATTTCTATTTGTCCAAACCTGACTATCTTCAGAGCAGAAGTTCCTTTAACAAACTCACTAGTTATTACTTTCACAATTACAAAGCAGAGAACTGTAGTTTCTCACAATCGTCAAATTGTGTCACCGTTACTTTCTACTTAATAATCACCCCCCTGCTCCCTAAACAACTTTGTGCTTTATCGAGAAGAAAGATCACACCCCAGGGGAAGCAGCATCTATGTCCACTTCCAAGCACCAATCAATGCCTTAACGCAGTTTGTGACTCATCAAACGATGAAACTTAAGAAAACCTACTCTAGCAATTACCCAAAACTTGTAATAAAAAAGGGGAAAACAAAATTCTGGAACTGCATGAGTTTTAATGCGGTGAAAACAAGCTTCTAGGGACTAAGTTTCAAGACCCATCATTTTGCATTAAAAACCAAGAAAGATGGCCATGGCCTAGTGCCAAACGGCTAAGCCAGCACAAATTAATGACCTGGGACCTGGCCATGCAAGGTGACTAGAACAAGTTATATGCTTCTAATTCTTCCAATGATCAACTGGGGAAAATAACATCAGATCAAATTAAATACCATAAAGTACAACAAACACGAATTTGAAGTATAAAAAACATAAACACGGGTCAATTAGTCAATAATGCCAACAAGAAGACAACATCGCTGTCAGAAAATGCCTATCTTCTCTCCAAAAAGTGTCGCCTAGGCAATAAGCAATGGCCTCTTAGCCTAAGTATGGCATAAGCACCAGAGGAACTTCGATAACTATTGTATGACGCGCTTGGGCTGCGCAAATTGCCCATGCATACCCAAATTGTGAAAGATAATTCTACATACTGTTTTGGTGATAAAACGCGATCATGCTCCCCAAAACTCACAGAAATGGACAACAAAAGTATTATAAAAGTCCAAGAAGTGAAAACAAAGAGAAGGTTGCTGGAAATCAACTAAAAACAAATGCTTCTAGAAACAGCAAAGTATGAAAATCACCTCATTTGAATCTTGTTCGATATCGTCTGCATTCCCGTTGAGGTCCTCAAGTTCCATATCAAATATACCCTTATGAAAATCTTCCTGTAAAATGTCATCCCATGCTATTTCCACCTACAGATCAAAACAATTATTTTTCAAATAACAAATATAAAGGCTATCATACCAGATCAGTGGAGTGTCTCTCTAACTATTAACTTTAACTTGTAAGCAAACTTACATCCAACTCAATCAGTCTATCCACTAATGCGACGAGAATAGTGCTCCCAATTAGTTCGCCCATCACACCGCCCTCTAACCTCAACATATTCTCCACGTACATAACAATGTGCTGCATTGGAAATTTGGAACTAAATCAAAAACAGACTGAACACGCGAATCTAGTTACTCATATATTTGTTCATGTTACCCCATTTAACATTTGAGATTTTTTGCGACTAACTGAAAAGGTTAACTGTCGTATCTTACTATGCATGCTTAAATTAGAAGGAAATATCTTTGATTTATGCGGAAGTTCAATTTTACCATGTCCATCATGAAGTTCAGCAAGAGTGTTCAAGGGATTCTAATATCCCTCACACGAATTAAGTCCACATTAGGTCTCTCCCAGCCAGAGTTTGAGTACGAAAAGGTGTATGAGAAACAAGGAGTGAGAAATTTAATGCCTCGCCAGAATGATGTGTGCTGTTGTTCAGATGAACTATATAACCAAATGGAATTTGATTTCATAGAAGAAAGGGTTCAGCAACATCTAGCACCTTTCAAGTATATGACAATACTTTCGGGGGAATAATCCGAAACTTAAACAGTTGTTTCAAAACTGTTGAGCCATTTCCACAACAAGATTGTCAGTCAATTCCAAACTCCAAAGAGGGGGGTGTTTGAAGAAAAAAAAAACAAGTACCAAAGAGAAGGAAACCAATTCCGTTGAGAAGGAAAAGATTAATTAAAAAAGATAAAAAGAACTCAAATAAAGCCCACTACCGGATGAAAGAAAAGAAAGCATATAATGCACAATACATAGCTGGAAGAGATAGAATGGAGAAGAAACTAAAGGGAAATAGGTAAGTGGTCTGCAAAAGAATACAGCAAATAAGAGAGGGTATGAATGGAACCTATGGCTATATGTGTTTTGACCCTTTTTATTGCATCTGCGAAGGGCGTCTTGTCTTGATGAATCTTTCTGAAGGCTTTTGCATAGACGAAAAAAGGCAGACGATGTGCACCTTGCATCATGGTGCTGAACCACAGCCTCAGCAATTTTCTTTCATTCAGGCATAGTAGCTGCGTCTAATGAAATAACAAATGCTCAATCATGTGCAAACGAGCAAAGGCTGTCTTTGAGCAGATTCATCTAATTGAAAGTCCAATTATGGAAAAAATTCTAAAATGAAAGCACGCTGTGGAAAGAACTTGGCGTATTGGTGAAAGGCACACTGGTAGTGCTGTAACTCAAATTTGTCCAACCATCCCTCTTTTCACACATGATTTTATTTAAATGCAATAAAAACATCGGATAAGCTTGGCATTGATAGAATGAAATAACTAATTGGCATTGATAGAATGAAATAACTAAAATGAACACAGTTACAATTCTTACTGGTTCTTTGGCGTATATGTTAGGCATTCTATCCCTCACTATCTTCTCCAGTCTCACAGGTGAAAGTGGGACTACATTTGCAATATCTTTCAAGGTTGAGTGGACCCGGTCAAGAACTTGACTCTTCTTAGCAAGACCGTGAGGTTTTTTCAAAAGTTCCAGAAAATACGTAGCAGAAGGAGAAGTGAATGGAGGCACGAAATTCACAACAAGCATATCCAAGCACAAATCAACATATTCCCCACTTGATGACGCCTGTAACCAATGATATATACACAAACACACACACACACATAAGAAAATAGAAAAGAAAAAGCAAACTTAACTATTAAAATGGCAGCAACGCGGAGGTAAATTGTCAGAACTCGTTACGAAATTACCAAGGAAACAAGTAATCCAACCAATGCATCCATCACATCATTCCCGTAGTTCCACAAACTCATTCCAAATATCTGCAGAGCAAAACAAAACGAGTAGCTAAAGTACGAACTTCACAATAATATCAGTCAAGTTCAGAATCTAAAAGGCTGCCTAACAACTCACGGCGGCAAGAAGCGCTCTATGATGAACAATGTCTATACACGAAACGGCTCCCCTGACTGCTTTCAGACACGCCTGACACGCCATCATGAACAGTTGCAAGAAACACAACTTAATTGATGGACTTCATACAAACACCAAACAAATTATTGGCTGGAACAAATTAAATAAAAAGAAAAAAAACATACCAGAAGAAGAGCCACCTCATCTGCAGCCAGACGTTCCTTATGGTGTATCACTGCTACAAGCTGGTTATAAAAGTCGCTGTCACCCTACAAACAGTAAAAAGAGAAAAACACCCATTAGCTAACTAAATAAGTTGAACCAACCAAAAACTTCAGAATCTAATATACCTTAACAGCAGCTCTAAGAGCATTCCTAACACGGGAAGGCAACTCAGAATCAGTGAAATTCAATTCTGCCATATCAGGTGCGCCCATTTTATCTCTTAACCAAGCTGATCTTGGGGTCAATGTGGTAACGCTGCTTGTAAAACCTTACCCCTGTAGCAATTAGCAAGCAGCAAGCACGTGAGTTTTGCGTAGAAAATGAATTAGCCACGGCCATGGCTGGTGACCTTAAAATCTGGCAGATTTTCAGATGGAAAATCGATCTGAAAATCTGCAAAACTGTAAAGCAGCAATTGAAGAAGATACCCGGTGAAGGAGGAGGCAGCGTCAGGCACTCAAAGTCGGTGGACCAAAAGAGGGTGCATAATAGGGTTTTTGGACCTAATAAAAGACAAAATAATGTAGTCTTAGGGCACATTTGTTTAGGGAGATACTGTACATAAAAAGTAATTTGTTGGTTTTATAGCAAAATGATCAAAAAAATCTATTCCAATTTTCTATTTCTGAAAATCCTAGGAAATTCCTCCAACAATTAAATACGCGTAGACATCGATAGAAGCTGATGTAGGGAAACATACGAGTGGTAAAGATAAACGAGATACTCTCTCGTAAAATACACAAACTCACAATATTTGATTCAATTTCAAAATTCACCACCGAATAACAAAAAAGAGGGTCTTTAAATAAGACACCCAAATCCTAAAACTTATCTTGTCCACCAAGCCACTAAATATAAATAAATATTAAATGATATTATTAATAATAGATATTATTCTGCATCATTCTCCTCCGGTTGAGCATGATTTTCTTTTTTGAGTGAAGGGAATTTTCCACATGACCCGATCCGACCCGATCTCGTTGGAAGTGTCCACATGACAGGAATCGTCCGACGTTTTCCCCAATCGAATACGAACGTTGAATGTCGCATCTGTTTGCAAAGCCACAACAAATTCATGTGGGAGAAAAGCTCGGGTCAACGCAACAGATAACCTACCAATTCTTCAGAACCTTCCACACGTCGTCAAGGGCACCAACATCGTAAAACTCGACGTCAATCTCGTCCGGACTAACGAGGCCTAAAACAAGCAATCTTTCATAAGAATCCACAACAAGATACATAAGCCTATCAAAGCCTTCGATCTCGAGAATAGTGCCTTTGTTCGCGTTGTTTCCTCCATCATGAGGAATGGATTTCCAAAATTCATCATTGACATCCACGCCCTGTGAGGCCACGACACGATTACCATCAGTCGTCAAAATGAATCGCATTGCGTCGCATATGCTCGGGATACTCCGTTTCTCCATGTGCGTAATGTCTACATTAGGCAGAGGCTCCATGAGGAATTCATCCGGCCCCGAAGGCTCCTCATTGAAAATTAGCGGACCGTCGTAGAGACCGTCCACTTCTCCGGTAAGACGTTCCTCCACCTCCTCGGGGCCTTCATCAAACACCGGCGGACCGTCATAGAAACCGATCACATCGGGGTCGTCGGACTCCTCAGCGAACAATACACGTGGGCCCATGTACTGTAGACTGGAATCCGACCCACAGATCGCAGCCCACCCGTCGCGGCGATGGCAATTGCCGCCAGCAAAGGTCGTACCACAACGGTCAGGCCCCTCGTCGCAACGCTGTCGATCGCCGACAGAAAACCCCGTTCCCTGTCTCCGCACATCCTAGCCATTGTATGCAGCAAAGGGCACATCGTCGACGTGCAGAGGAGGCCAATCACCGAAGGGATTCTCCTCCGAGACTGTTTTCTCGCCGTCTTCATCGCTGGATGGTGGTTGTGGAGATCCCCCACAGGGCGCCCCATCTGGACCACGGCCTCCACGTCCTCCGTGAATTCCCCCGCACACGCCCCGGTTGCCGGTGTCACGGTAAGTTTGCTTGTCCCAAACCATGGTACGGATAGTTAGACGTATGTCCTCGATCTCCGCGGACAGATCTGCAATCTGACGACCATTCGTCTCGAGCTCGCGGTCAAACCACTCGGTCTTGCGGCTCATGTTGTAGATGGAGGCGACACGCCTATCATTTGCAGCATCTTGTCTTCGCGACAGCATCGTGAATCGTGCTGACTTCTGATACCAACTGATGTAGGAAAAAACGAGTGGGAAAGATAAACGAGATACTCCTCGTAAAACACACAAAACTCACAATATCTGATTCAATCTCAAAATTTACCACCGAATAACAAAGAAGAGGGGTCTTTAAATTAGACACCCAAACCCTAAAACCTATCTTGTCCACCAAGTCACTAAATATAAATAAATATCAAATGGTAATATTAATAATAAATATTATTCTGCATCAGAAGCCCACACATCTAAAAGCCGTTCGCGGATTTTTATTTACACGCATAGACTGAGCGTAGATCGCGGCACGGCAAAATTCAATGACTCATACCGGTCAGAGTTTTTTTGAACTGGCGTAATGTATCTTCGGAAAGGAAGATCAAGGTAAACACTAGTTGTGCTTGGAAATTAGTTTGCCCACATTTATATTTTAATTCCATGAATTATATTGTTGTGTTTAATCACCAGAACTTGTTTTTTCTGTTCATGGCTTTAACTGAATTACCACAGTTTTGATGATACAAGATTGGTTTTTTTTATATTTTTCCTTGTTGCCATCATTGTATGTTTGATTTCTTTTGTAGCCTTCCGCGGTATCCACTTTTGCCACATGCTAACAATTGTCAAGTATTCACTTCTCTTCTCTCTGTATTATATATGTTGTAAAATGGCACGTGTTATGAACACATGATGTGATTAGGATGTTGTACAGAAGCCAATAAAGTTGTCCTCTGTAGAATATATTCCCTGTCGATTTGTGTCTATCACTGATCCTTTCGAATTATCAAATCACCAAACCTTTATTTCACATCATTTGATGGTGTTTTCCCTTAGTAACCTTATGTGAAAACAATAAATTTGGGCGTCTTCTGTGCTCATCTACATTCTGTATGAAGTATGAACCATTCATTCTCAACTCACATTTTCCTGAACACCAAACACAAGAAAAAATAAAAGTGCCACACAGAATTTTAACAAAACCCACAATGCCTCGAGTTTATATCTCGGTTACACAAGATGAGTGTCAATATGACGCTTGTTCGACTAAAGAGTTTAATAATCTTTTCATATACCTCCTTGTTGTGTACAAATTGTTTTATTTTACCGATTAGCAAATCGAATGATTCGTTTCCCGGGTCGAGCTCTCGAGGAAAGCGGTTCGGAATTCAGAAGTGGTATTGATAACACATAAAAGCAAAATAAATCCTAAACATTCTAATCAAGATAGGATAAGGATTAATTATTAACTAGGAAATAACTTAAAACATAAATCTACCTAAAAATATAAACGACACAATGATAAAGAAGTTAGGGAGTCGGGGATAATTAATTCGAGTTATATTCGCAAAATCAGGCAATTAATCGTTCGGTTTGAGATTGATACTCTCGCCTAGACATCTAGCGGTTCGCTCCCAATAACTCTTCGTAACAAGGGATTGAACATAGATGAACAAGCTCAAGCATACAACACCGGCCAATTATCCAATCCCAATAACTTTTCGTAACAAGGGAAGGGACATCGACAAACGTGTACTTCAATCTGAAACCTATAGACTATTCAATTACGAAATCGTCTATCTCGTGCGAGCCTAGTTCTACGATTCCTCCCCTTTCGATTCTGAAAGTCGCTAATTAAATTAGAAGGGGTTTAATCAACTAATCATTTAGAATCAACAAACCCTAACCTAACAAATCAATATTCAATTGTTTCCAATTGCAAGATCGAAGTGTCACCCGTCGATTATATCAAACTATCAAACAATAATTTATCAACTCCAATCAAAACAACTCGCACAAGAACGAACAAATTAAAGCCCAACAATTACGAAATTAAACAAGAACAATCATCCCATATTCCTAGCAATATGAATTAGCTACGCAAAATAAGTTCAACACATTCAATCATTTCTCTCCAAGCAATTATTATCATAAATTAAACAAAGAGAGAAACTTACAATCGATAGAAATTCCAATGTTGAATCCAAATACAAGCTTAATTCCCAAATGTTAAGAAGAAGAAGAAGAAAAATAGAAGAGAAAGGTGAAGAGAAGAAGAAAAACGAGGAAGAAGAAGAAAAAGAAGAAGAAGGAAGGAGCTGTGTAGTTTTCTCGGCTCTAGGGTTTACACCCCAGAAGGAGAGATATCGATTAATGAAATCCCGCGCGTATATTTATTGGCATAGGGCATCACGGCGCGGGACAGGGTGCCACGACGCGGAGCATAAGGCGCCGCGGCGCGAGGGGCATCACGGTGTAGAGGAGAACAGGTGCGCACTCTCTGAACGCCCGTAGAGGGCGCCGCGCGTCGGGCCGCGGTGCGGAGCAGAGGAGTGTCGTGGGTGTGGAGCGTTGGCGCGGCATGGAGCAAAGGGGTGGCGGCGCGGGAGTCTGGCGCGGGCGCAGAGTCCTGGTGGTGCCACGCCGCGGAGATGCTGTCATAGGCGCGGGCGCGGGGCTCTGGTACTGCAACGGCGCGGAGGCTGGCACAGTGCGATGCTGGAAAATCCTGGGGAACTGTACGCCCGTAACGGGTAGCGCGAGTGATGCCGCGGCATGCAGGGTGGAGCAGCATGGCGCTGGAGCAGAGGTCTCAGTCGGTGTCGTGGCGGTCGTCGCGGCGTGGCGCGGAGACCTGGGGCAAGAGCTGCTAGCCACCTTGCACTACTTCGTATCTCGGGTTCGTTTGGGTTCGACTGGACTCCGAATTTGATTCCGCTTTTTCCTGTATGTCGCCAACGAAATGCTCTATTTAATTATGTTCACCTGGTTCATTTATCGTGGAAAATAAATCCTCTAGAATCTTTCAACATGCACACCAAATACGAAGAAAAACTAGAAAACGATCGAAAAAGACAAGGAAAGCCAAAATAGAGCAAGCCACAAAATAAGCTACAAAACGAACTGAAAACCAACTAAAAGACCTAATATGGGGGGAAAATAAAAAAAATAATCACAAAAAACGCAACCAAAATGGGACAAACACTCCTCTTGGAAATACACACCTTGGGCCATTGGACGCAAGGCCAACCAACACTTGGAAACCTAACTTCTGTAGGTTGGTGCTGCGAGCAGAGCTCAATATTGATTTTCGTCTAGAAGAGGTTGAGGAGAGGTTTGACTTTTGCGCCATTGATACACGGTGTTCAGATGGATGCTCCGTCAACATGGTCTACGACACCATGTTGAATCGAATGTACTAACTGCGCCTGTCGCTGTGTGGGATGAAATGTTCGAGGTAAATGACTTAATTTAATATCTAAGGATGATTAGCTTTCATCCACATGCATCAACACTTAACTACATTTTTACTGAAAATTCAATTGAATGTAAATGCACTAAATGTTAAACTAGAGCACATGAACCAAACATGCATGCTTCATGTAACAATAACTACACTGCCATGTTTCATATCATTTTTAATTTATTACTTTACATCCTTGCCTTCCTCTTCACATACCATTTTTTGTTTATTTTAATATTTTTATTGAAACTTCACTACACTGTAGACGAACTCTTTCACGGTGGCCTACCAGCATTGTGTTGACCCACGGTGGGGCGATCTCCCGTTCATTTTCGGTGAGGATTTTTCTATCAGACTGCATGGAGCAGGCATATCGGGCCAAAATTCGAACAACCATAACATGGTCCTTCCGGAGGGCGAAAAATCAGTAATTGGGTCAAAGGCTTCACACAACAATGTGCAATATCAATGTTCAACAAGAAACAACTTCTACAACAAGGCAAAGCACCCATTGAGATCATGTTCCTGTTTGCCGATGTGAATGTCAGAGTTGATAAGCTTTTCATTCAGCTCAACAGTCATCAAGCGTATTTATTGAAGTTCATCTCTGAGATATGCGATCTCTTTTTCACTTTCTGCTGATCAGTGCTCCAACAGCTTCATCTTCTCCGCCTGGACTTCGTACTTCTTGATGGCTTTGGCAGCCTTGAGACATTTCTCTATGGCATGCTTGTGAAGAACAAGATTCTCCTCAGTCGGATCAGAAAGTTCCTCAACTTCAGAGTCACTTAAGGGATGGGCGTAAGAACTAGCATCTGGCTCAACATCAGTAAGGTGGACAGAGGATGTATAGAACTTGTAATTGTTGAGAGGACATTTGGAAAAATTATTAATATTATGAACCCTCGGTCTTCTCAAATTCATCATCATCATCGTCGCTATCATCATCCCATGTGGCTTTCTACGTCTTGTTCCTTTTCTTGAAATTTGGACATTCCGACTGAAAGTGACCAAAACCAATGCATTTGCGACATTGATCCTTCTCAAAACCTTGGTTCGAATTCTAAAAATCTGGTAGGCTAAGTGTTCGAACGTCATTCACCAGACTGTTGGAAGATGTTCTTTCCGCCTTCAGAGGGCTTCTTCCCTGGAAACTTCTTCTTTCGGAATTTCTTCAATTTTGAGAAGTTTCTGGTAAGAACAGTGAGTGCCTTTGTAATTCCTTCAGCATCAAAGGATTATTCATCTGAGTCTTCTTCCTCTACAGTCAATTTACAAACTTTGGCTTTTAGTGCTATGCCTTTTTCTTTCAAAATATCAAATCCATGATTTATTTCAAAAGTACGTAAATCGCCCAGAAGATCATCAATTCCGAGATGCTGAACCCTCATGAAACTTTCCAAAGCCGTAATCATTATACCAAACCTTTCCCGTAGAGTTCTCATCAATTTTTGTATTTGTCTTGCCTCTGAGACCTCTTCACCAAGCATAGCATTTTGGTTTACAAGATCACAGAAGCGAGCATAGTACGTGTCTATGGTCTCATCTTCTCTCATCCGGATTCATCTAGCTCCGTGGTGATTCTTTGTAACTTTGAAGACTTCACATCATTCGTACCTTCAAACTGCCTCTCAAGAATTTTCCAAGCATCACAGGCTGTGGTGCACTGGATGATCATGTTACGACAAGTTGGATCTACCACACACATGATTGCATACAATGCATGAAAATTGGCTTTTTCTGCCTGCCTTTCCGCGTTGGTCCAAATGTCTTTTGGTTTTTCGACTAGAACAAGAGATACCGAGGTTGAGGATTTCGATTCAAAGGACTCACCGAGCTTGGATTCATAAGGAGCTTTCGGCATAAGAGGTGTAGACCATCCTGTCTCAATGACTTGTCAGGTTTCTTTTCCTAAAGAGCGGAGGAAAGTGTCATCACAGACTTCTAGTATCCATAATTTGATCCATCAAGGTATGGAGGGCGCTAAATTGACATGTCGTCGCGATTCATGGTGATCAACCCAAAGGCCCAAAGATCTTTATCCTGTAATTAGAAGCTCTGGTGCCAATTGAAACGTGGGTATTAACCGTAGAGTGCACTCGAATGTGTTAGATAACGGAATTTTTGTATGTTTGTCAAACTGTGTTGTAACACTAGAAAAATTATAATTGCGGAAGCACAATACAAGAGATAAAAACTCTTCAGGGAGCGTTCCACTAACCTTTAGAGATCTTTTATTAATAAATCGATTGTGCACACGTGTATAGTTTGAACTTATACAACTAGAACTCCCTTCTAGCCTAGCTAACACTATACTCGATCTTACCAACTACTTCTCTGGCCACGTCCCCTGAACTTTAACACTCGAATCCCTCGAGCAAACCAACACTTAATGCCTAAGTACTGTGATAATGTTTCTGAGTGAGAAAAAAGAAAACCAAAGAAAAAAAAAATCTCAGTTCCTCGATGGCATATACTATATGAATATGATAATCTCATGTCCTCAATTGATCTTCAAGATAGATATATATAGATTTATTGGTTGTGAAGTCTTCATCTACCAATTTCCTTCTTTTTGTGATTTCTTTCAAAAGCTCTTGGTTCAAACATGGTAAGTAAATATTCATCCTCTCTCTTATTTGATCTTTCCATCCTCGTCGCCTTACAACTCCATGCATACGTTCGAGGTTCTACAAAAATATAACACAAAATAAGATCACACAAAAAATCTTTTAGAGATACTCAATATAAATCGACATATGCATATATAATTATAAATAAATGAAAATCTTCTATTTCTTTATTTCCTTTGCTTCCAAGACTAATCTTCAATATATTGATTTTGAACTTTTTGCCAAAAATAAATCTTTCAAGCTCGTCGTGCCCACATGCTCGTTCTTACTCCAAAAAGTGTTCAGTTTGAATTTAATTTTATTCGTCCCTAACGAACCCTATTAGAGTTCAAGAGTGCCAAAAGCATGATTATAACTCATTTGAATTGCCCGAACATTCTTAAATTGAATGCTTGCAAATCCATAATTTTTTTACCTACTTAAACTCATATTTTGGGATAGACAAACTCAACATTTCAACTTAAGATAATTTTTTCATTCACGATTGTTGAGATTTTTACTAAGTTTTTTACTTACGAAAAATGGAACCATAAAAAGATCAAAACTATTTTTTCTTACATAAATATCATAAAACAATATAATTGTTTAATATATTTTATATTATATTGTCTAATCTAATAATTCTTAATAATACAATAAATATTAAATAAAATGTTTATTTAATAAAGTTGATGCGCATCACAATTCTAGAACATATTGATCCACAACCGCACAGCCTGCAAGTAACTAAAGACGACAAATTATTCTCCATAGAAAGCACTTTTTATCCTTTTTATTCTTTCTTTCCCTTTAGAGCATCTCCAATGGCACAATGTCTATTTTGATATGTATGTTGTGGAGAAAAGAAATAAAAATAGTTTGTCTCCAATGGTGAATGTCAATTGTAGAATAAATTGACACGTGTAAGATAATAATTAGTTGATGGAGAAAAATATATAAAATAAATAATAATATAGATAGAAGATGTCTGGAAGTCTTTCTAGATCTAGAAAGACTTCTAGAAATTTTACATGCCACATTGAATTTTTGGGGCCATGTGGCAATGGAATGGACCAATGCACAAACTATTGGAGATGCTCTTATAAGTTGGGGTAAGACTACAATTTTGTTACGGAATCATTCCGTCGGAATTTATAACCGTTAAATCATAGATTGTAGCATTTTCATATAAGTTGATAGCTTAAGTTTAAAGCAAAGCCATAGTTATTACTTTTTTGGTCAAACTTATCAAAACCACACGCTTCTTCAACGCGGAAAAGACGCTGCTTTCAATCGTCACTCGTCCACAAAACCTATCCCTCTCTGCAAAGGAAAAGCACAATAACTTCGGATATCCTCTAATTCCCCACATTCGATTTATTTATTATTATTGTTTCTTCTTATTATATTCCACCTTCAGAACATTCTTCCCCTCTTCCTTCAAACGCAATATATATATACACGCTCAGATACAAATTTCTGAGCGTTGTATTTGAGATTGATTATAGTTTTGAAATCGATTATAGTTTTGAAATATTGAGAAAGAAGAAAAAAAAACAGAGCAAGTATGGAGTACCGCCCGCTGCACATCACCTTGAAATCAGCCGAGGGTTTGAAGAACGCGAGCCTCTTCGGCAAGATGGACGTCTACGCCGAGATCTCAATCGCCGGCTACCCGCAGTCCGTCAAGCGGACGTCCGTCGACAAGAACGGGGGCACCAGCCCCAAGTGGAAGAAGGACCATCCCATGGAGTTCATCGTCGACGAGCCCTACCTCACAAAGCCTGGCCTCTCCCTCCTCTTTCAGCTCAAGGACGAGTGCTCCTTCGGACCAGACAAGGTCATCGGCTCCGCCACCGTCCCGATCCACGACCTGTTCAAGCCCGATTCCGACCTGACCCGGGACAACACCGTCGAGTACCAGATCTACACCCCATCCGGCAAGCCCAAGGGTTCCCTCAAGTTCTCTTACAAATTCGGGGAGAAATTCACGCACCAGGCCCCGGCGGCGGCGCCGGAGACCAAGGAGAAGCAGCACGCGCCAGATCCGGTGACGGCGTACCCCGCCGCGGGCGGATCTGCCTACCCGCCGCCTGCCGCTCCGTATCCTGGTCAGGCGTACCCGCCGCCGGGCGCGGCGGGGTACGGGGCATATCCGCCTCAGGGGGGCGCGTACGGGTACGGCGCGCCGCCGCCTCCGGGGTACGGGTACGCGCCGCCGCCGCAGGGGTACGGTTATCCACCTCAGGGGGCGTACGGGCAGCCTCCTAAGAAGAACAAGGCGGGGATGGGGGCAGGGTTAGGGTTAGGATTGGGGGCTGGGCTGCTCGGAGGCTTGTTGGTTGGGGAGATGGCGTCGGAAGCAGGGGAGGCGGCTGCCTATGCGGATGGGTACGGAGACGCCATGGATGGCGGCGGCTTTGATTTCTAGATTGTTACTCCTTTGTTTTCTTTTTTTCGTTTTTTCTCTTATATTTGGTGAATGGTGATGTTCTGTGATGATCTATTATGAAAGAGGAGATAATTATGTACTACACCATCTATTTTACTTTTTCTCGATGCTACTATGCTTGCTTTGTACATATATTAATGGCGATAATTTGAGTTGAGAGACAACATAATGCGTTTTTTGATTTCTAGCTGGGATATGCGTTTGGTTCAGATTTTTTTATTTTTTATTTTTTTGGGCTTCTTGTTCTTGTTTAATTTGTGTAAGAACTTGCCCTAACTGTCTTGGTTCGAACACGGTAAAATGTGTAAACCTGCACTAACGACCTTGGTCGACACATTATTAAGTGAAAAACTGTACTATCAGCCTCGGTTTTTCTTAAATAAAGTACTCGAAAACGAGTCTTTTTCTTAAATTTTATTTCATTAGACTTCATTTCATAAACANTATTCAAATTACTAGCGCATAGCCCGTGCAATGCACGGGATGGTATATTTTCCTGAAATGTTTAACGTGTGAAATATTAATAATAATATAATTTATATATATGTAATAAAAATAAATGGATTGCAAAGAAGGAAAAAAAATATAAATTATTGAACACTTTCTTTGTGAAGTAAAATTTGTGAAGGTTTGGTATATTTGATTATGAATAGAAAAGTATGAAATACTACCTGCGGACGGTTGAGATAGATGAGAAGATTTACTTAGAATATATAGAATAAATATTGAGATAATGATTTACCTTTTACCTAGTATAGATAAAATAAATATTGACATGATGTGGGAAAATTATGACGAATTATGACATAAATTCGTTTAGAAAATATTCAAAAATTAGATTTATTTTTTATTTTCTAAATCCTTACAGTAATTCGTACGTTCCTTTTCATACGCTTAATTTATCAATTTTACACATACAAATCAAAATTAATGCAACTCGAAATATTATATAACAAATAAAATGAGATTTTTATCTAACATTTAGTATATTGCCGGAAATTTTTTTATAAATCTTATTCTCTTCTTATGCACATAGATATTAAAGAATGAGTAAAAAAAATATCTAAATATGTTTAAAAGTATCTAATATTATATGTGTTAACAATGTTACAACCAAAAGACATTAAGAATACGCAGACTATTATATAACATATGTGAAAGTATTAAAATATTTTATATTATTATTTAAAAATGTGAAATTACCTCAATTTTGTCTAGACTATTTTATAAGAAAAATATATATACTTAAAGTTAGCACACACACATATATATATATATCCTTAAAATTTGCCCAACTAACATGTTTAAAAGTATATAAAATTTTATATATAAAACACTGTTGCCGTCTTGAATTAACAACTTCAAATTAAACACAGTTGATGTCAAGAAAATGAAGATAAATGTCTAATTAAATTTTATTGATTGTGTTCACAAAAGTACAGAAGTCGGTTTTAGGTTGAAAACCGAGATCATCTTATGTTCGTGTACAATGTGTTCGAAAAAGATCCTCGTACCATCATAAATTCTACTATTTATAGTACGGTGGCTTTTGTCTTCTTGCTCGAAATAGATAAGGATGTATTAAATGTCGAGCTGCTTCGCTTAAAGCGGCGGGAAACATCAATGATTGCCTTTTCGTTTTGTTGGTCCAATCAGATACTTCTAATGATTACTTTCTGTTTGGAATGCTCAAACTTTATGGTAGTCGGTTGACTTGAAGTCGGTTTACTTATGTTGGTTTCGGATGTCGGTTTTGATCCTTTTGAAGGTCTGTCGGAAGTTGGATCTTCGGAAATCGGTAATTCTTAAGAAGTCGGTAATTTGCTCTAATATATTCCGACTTTTAGTACTTTAATTCTGATTACTGGATTTGATATCAACAGTGAGGCCCCCGACATCAGTAAGTATTTGAAGCTTTTTAAATGGTTGCTGATGTCGTTTGTTGTTTCACCTTATTCCGACTTGTTTTGCGTTGTTTACCGACATGAGAACACTTTTGCTTCATTCGACACTTTATGGTATGTGATCTGACATGGCGGCTCTTAAAAGGCGTGTCCACATTAAATGGGTCCAACGGATACAATTTTGTAACGACATGGCGTTTCAGGATATGGCCACGTAGGGTAATAATTACTGTAACGTTATGTCTTTTGATGACACGTCCGTTACACGCGCCGTTTCCGGATATTTCTAACGGTCATAAATCAAAACCTATAAATTAAAGTCGGTTTCGATGTGTGAGAAATTTCCGTACCTTGAACTTCTTTGTTTTTCCTTCGTGTTCTCTGTGACTTTCTCTCTAAATACTTTCGTTGTGCACTTGCTTTCTTTGTGATCTTTTCGTCAACTCAGTGCTTTCGGAAATTTCGGTAAGAATTTGCCCTAATCTCTCTGCGTTCTTGTTCCGTTTCGAACTGTTTTAATTTTTATCGATTTCGGAAAAGATGTCTGCTCAGACGAACGATAGCAGTAGTAGGACGATTTCTGATATCCCGATCTTAACCGATGAGGATCTGGAATTGCCTCTTGAGTATTATCGATGGGATCCGTTGTTAGTTAAACGATTGAATCTGAATAGAGACATCGTCGAGACAGACAAGAAAGTCGAAGAAGATGCGATGTCACTTCCCGACTATTGGAGACGTCCAGCTCGGCGATGGCCTGAACCAATTGATGAATATCGTGGCGAGCCAAGCATCCTTACTGACGCCGACATCGTCATTCTTCGAGAGGAGGTCTATATTCCCTCGTCGGTTAAACTGTTCGCGCCATATCCAGGTGAAAGGATTACGTGTCCACCTCCAGGTTGTGTTGGCGTATTTGCCGACTCACTGAGGTCTGGACTTCGGTTTCCCCTTCCGGCTTTAATTACTGACTACTTAAGAAATTGGGGAATTAGCCTGTGTCAGATAGCACCAAGTTCATGGAAAAGAATAATTGGCCTTATGGTGCTATTGAAGGAGAAGGGTTGGGACATGCCAACCGTTGAAGAAATTAGGAGTTTGTTTTCATTTCGGCGATGTACCGACAGGCAAGTTGCTGACCCACTGATTTGCTATGCCTGTGCGGGTAGGCCTCAAGAGGGTTTGAAGATCGGTGATTTGATTTCTGACATTCCTGAGTCGCTCCATGGATTTCAAGAAGAGTGGCTATGGGTCGGAGGAGACTGGCAGACTCCAAAATTTTCAAAACCTTTAATTGATGGAATGACAATCCCCATCAATATTAATTCTGCAGTTTGTAAGTTTTTTATTTGTCTTCGTTTTACCGAGTTGCTCTGACCTCGTTTATTTTTGTACTAACAGGTCTTGTTATTTGCAGCCAAAAGCAAGGGATCAAAACTCGGTCCGATTTTAAAGGAGAGGATCACCGAGCTATTCAAATTGAAGAAGGCTCAACGCAGCTTTAAGTTGATTTTGAAGAACACGAGATTGAAAGCTGCTGGTCTTTGTCCCGAGATTTCTGACAGTTCGTTCCAACCAGGTAAGCTTGAATAAAATTTTTGTTCATCTTATTTGAAGTCGGCTGTTTTCGGGACTAATAACAACTCGATTTTGTATTTGCAGTTTATTATCCACTTATTGGGGTGCTCGGTTTCAAAACGACTCGTGACGCAAGAGCCTTCCGCCAAAGCAGTCCGAATTTAGACCTCCGAACCAAAGTCGGAAAAAGCAAGGAATTGCGTTTGACAGGAATGGGTCGCAAAAAGTTGGTGAAAGCTTACCTGGAGAACCCCATTATGAATCCACCGAAAACCGACGTTGGTGATGGTGCAACGTCGGCGGCTGCGATTGTGGTGCCGCAACCGAATCCTCTGGCCATTGCAGCAGCAGGTCCCATGGCTGCCATTGCTGCTGCGACTACTACTGCGACTGCTGCTGTTTCCGAAGCTAAGCCAAATGTTGAGGCTGTCGCAGCAGAGAATCCGTCGGTGATTGATTTGGCTTCTGATGAGCCTGAGGAGGGCCACGAAGTCACCGCTGAGCGTAATGTGCCTGTTACTCGGTCAAAGAAAAGGAGTGCGGAAGATGTTCCGGTTACCGAGGAACGGAGAAAAAAGAAACACGATGGTGGTGATCGCGAAAAGAAGAAGGAGCCCATTATTGACCGATCCTTCTTGCCAATGGATGAGGAGAGGTTTCTGAATTTCAGGCAGCCTCGGGAATCGGTCGAGAAGTGGTTCTCGACTTTTGAATCAGTTGAAATTCCCGAGATATCAAGCACAGTCGAGCTGCCTGCCCATGTTATTGATGCTGCTCGGGTCCCTATGATGGTATGGGATCCGAGATCCGAGATCGGCGTGTCCTCATTGGCGAGTGCATATAAGTTCAAATACGCCAAAGCTTGCCTGGGTCGCGCGCTTGTTAGTCTGGTGATGGCCGAAGATGATTTCCGACTCAACGCGGCCCAGGTCGAGGAAAAGAAACATTCGCTCGAACTCAGAGATGGAGCACTTGCATCTCTGAAAGAAGAAGCAGCGGCTAAGGAGAAGGAGCTGCAGGTGAAGATTGCCGAACAACTGACGATTGCTCAGGGCGAAATTGAGGCCTTAAGAGCGGATAAGGCTAGTCTTGATAATGATGTCTTGAAGTTGACGAGTCAGGTCATCACCTCCGAGCAACGCGTGAAAATACTTGAAGAGCAATTATCTCGGTGTGAGAGCCTCCTCCGAAAAGAATAGGAAGCTCACGAGGCAACTCGGAGAAGTCGGTCCGAAGTTGAAGAACTGCTGAAGAAGGACCGAGATGCTCATCTAGCTAAACTCGGCAAACTTCAAGAGGAGAAGATCAAGTTTGCCGAGGAGAAATATAATGAGGGTCTTCGAGCAGAAAGAATTTTTGAGGCGGAGGCTTACCGACTCAAGACTAAGGCCGAATCTGATTCTGAAGATGAAGACCGGGAATTCGAGATGAACACCCGTCTCAATTTACGCTGGATGATCGAGCGTTTCGATGATGGTTTATATAACATCGAGATAA